TTTCTTAAATGTTATGTCGTATTTAGTTGTACAAAAGGATTATAATTTAAAAAATAATTTATTGTGCTGAAATTCATATAACATAAAATTAGCCTTTTTTTTTTTTCCTTTTTGTCTTTTTTCGTGACCGGCAACGGACCGCAACCCTCAGTGTCGCGCCCGTACCGGACCGGGACCGGCCACGGGATCGCAACCCTCGGTGTTGCTCCCGCCCCGCGCTCAGCCAGTGAGCGGCCAGTCTGTATGTGGGATCCGAACCCTCGGCGGGAGCGCCACCGCACTTCCCAAGCGGCGCACTATAGCATGCGCCACCGGGCCAGCCCAAAATTAGCCTTTTTAATGTGAACAATTCAGTGGAATTTAGTACCTTCATAATGTTTGTGCAACCACCACCTCCATCTAGTTCCAAAACATTTCTGGAATATAATTTTTTAAACTAATTTCTTACCAATGGACATTTGCGTTGTTTCCTCCAATATGTGGGGTATTATAGATAATACCATAATGAACCTCACTGTACATAAATTTTTTTGAAAACTTGAATAAGTGATCCGAGTTTTTAACATCTTGAAGATTATCCTCATTAAAAACTCCAGTAGATACTACAGAACTGGCTTTCAAAAAGGTTGTAAAATTTATATTCCTGGCAGCAGTAATTGCGAACCATGTTTTATTCTCACCTTACTAAGTATTATCTCATGTTTTTAGCCTTTGCCAGTTTGAGAAGTAAAAAATAATGTCATTGCTTTTAATATTTTTGAGCTAATAGCCATTTATATTTCTTTCATTTATATTTCTTTGCCAATTACCTATTTCTGGGATTTGACCATTTTTAATAAAGGACCAGATAGTAACTATTTTAGGCTTTGTGGGCCATATGGTCTCTGTTGCAATATTCATCTCTGCTTGTGTAGTGTAAAAGCAGCCCTAAACAAATGGGCATGACTGGGTTCCAACAAAACTTTATTTATAAAAATAGGCAGTGAGCCAAATTTGGCCCCCAGGCTATAGTTTGCGGACTTCTGATGTATTTTGTAGTTGTTGCTGGTTTAAGTTTATAAGAGCACGTTGCATATTAGGAAAATCATGGACTATCTGCTCTGGTCAATTGATGAACATGACTGAGCTGTTAATAAGTATAGCTTTATAAAATGTTTTCATATTCAACACAATTATATTTGGTTGGTATAAATAATAAATTCCTGTCCAAATACAATACAGTATCTAGAAGTATCAACTAGTCATACACTTACAACTTCAAGTTAAAATCCAAGTTAAATAATATAACACTACAATAAGTTCTAGTGTCCCAATAATAAAAGGAGCCTTGCTTTTGTTTCTAAATTGTTTCTGTATTAAATCTAAACTCAATTACGTTGTATTTAAGGCCTCTGAAATCTAATCCCAGGTGCTCTTTCCTGTGTTGTCCTGCCAGTCCCTGCTGCTGAAGCCACCAAGCTATTTGCCGTTCCCCAACCAGGCCCCACACTCCCCACTTTTCCTCCTTTGCTCCCCTATTCCTGCTACCTGTAATATTCTGCCCCTCAGTCTTTACTTACTAACTACTACCCAGTTTGAAAGACCGTTTAAATTTAAAGAGGGCAATCCTTCCTTAACCTCTTTCAAGCCTAGTAAAGAATCTTTCTCCCAAACTTGCCCAGTTTTGCCTATTCTCTTTCCTGAGAGCTAGTGTCGCCTTTTTAAGTAAACATTTTCCATTGAAGACAAAAATACAGAAAACTCATAACGTTTTACCTAGTAAACAACCCATTTAACTATAGTCCAGATCAAGAAATAGAACATTACCACACCTGAGACGTCTCCCATGTACCTTCTCCCAGTCTTTACCTCCCAAAAGGTAGTCTCTGTTATGACTTCTATTCCTGTGGATTTTCTCTCAGTTAACTATAGTCCAGATCAAGAAATAGAACATTACCACACCTGAGACGTCTCCCATGTACCTTCTCCCAATCTTTACCTCCCAAAAGGTAGTCTCTGTTATGACTTCTATTCCTGTGGATTTTCTCTCAGTTTAGAACGTTTATGAATGGAATGATACAATAAGTACTCCTTTGTGAATAAAAAACATTCGACATTATGTTTGTGAGAGCCACCCTTGTTGTTGTATATAGCAGTAGTTCATTCTTTTTAATTGCTGCAGAGTAGTCTATTGTATGAATATACTACCATTGACTTGTCCTTTCTATTTTTAATGGACATTTTAGTTGTTTCTAATTTTTGGCAATTAGAAATAATGCTATGATTAATATTCCTACATATGTTTTTTGTGCCTTTCTGTTAGGTATATGATATAGCATCTGAAGGATACATCACAAGTCTTTAGGATGTATTCAGAATTTATCTTAAGAAAAAAAGTTAAAGAGCTAAAATATTTAGCTATGCAGATGTTCTTTGTAGCGTTTTAAAATAAATGCAAAAATAGAAATTATGCTAACTTCTTAAATTATGGCATATCTACGCAACACAATATTACATTGAATACAGTAAAATTATGGCATAGAGTATATTATTTATTTTATTTTATTATTTATTATATTTATTGCTAAGGAAAGATTTACATGACATACTGTTAAGTGAAAAAAAGTCTGGTTATATGAGAATATATACAGCATGAGTCCATTTTTATTTTAAAAAGAACATATTAATATGTAAGTGTATATTTGAAAAGATCACACCCAAAGTTTAACAGTGATATCTTTGGGAAATGTAACAATGGCTGATGTTTCTTTTGGTTTTACTGTATTTTTCCATTTTTCTAAACTCTTCTTTTAAGCATGACTATGAATTTATCCCTGTATTCTTAGCCCATAGCATACTATTTGTCATATAGTGGTTCTAAATAAATGTGTATTTGACTCTATGAAAAAATACAAATCATCACAAAACCAACAAGGTAAAACCAATTTCATTCATTTGGACCATTCTGAAAGACAGATAATTAGTAATTGCCATAGAAGATATCAGCATTTATATTTAATATATAATAAATATATTATATATTTAATATAAATAATAAATATGTTACTATATATTTGCTCTTAGAACTCTACAAAATAGCATGAATTCAGCTGCAGAGCTCTATGTGTGCGGCTCTACACTGGCTCACTAGTGACCCTTTGCAACTCACTGCAGGCCACTCAATTCCTTTACCAATGATCTTGTAACCAGCTCAAAAAATGGCCAATGTCTCAGACGTATAAAGTGCCCACTTTCTATCAGAGACTGTTAAAGTAAAAGGAAGAGTCAAGAACTAAGTACTAGAATGTGCTTAGAACTTAAATAGTGATAGTTTGCATCTACATTATTACAATTTGAAAGCTTTTAGGCATCATAACACACTTTTTTAAAAAAGTTTGCTTTTCTTAACATTTAATTCATTGCTTTTCCTCATCCCTCCAAAAGCAAAAACCCCACAGCATTTTTTCTCCCTTAATATTCAAAACAGTAGGCAGTCACATAAGATTAGAGCAGAGCGACCAGACCCCTCCTCTGATCAAAACATCTGTCTTCTCCGGCTCCCCCTGGCGTCCCTTTCCCCTTTCTATTCATTTAGAATCCTTTCTTCGGGTTAGAGGACCAAAATGATCCCCTATACATCTCCCTCCCAGTCCCTTCTCATTGACACTTCAGCTGAGATTTCAGAAGTTTTGTTAGGTGGCCCCAGGGGCCGAGACAGCAAGCATACGGTGGTTTCGGAGGGGTCGAGGGCTTTGCGGGCTGCATGGGGCTCAGAGCCAGAGAGGGCTGACCCGGTGGGACAAGGGTTACAACCATCCTTACTCATCCGTCTGGACCGGTGAGGAGGCATATGATCGATCCCTTTTAGGAGCTGGCGCTTGTCCAAGCTCGTAAAAACCATCTTCCTTCCTGAGGAAGTGATTCTCCAAGGCCCTTGGGTGGGCGAGGCTGTGCTGGTCACCCTGTGCTTGGCCCTGGCTAGGGCTCTTGCCATTGTCCCACACTTCCTTTCAGGTACCACCCGGTGTCTCACTGTCCCTGTTTGCACTACACGTCCTCAGTGTTCCCAAATCACCCAGCCTCACCATTGAAGCCGATCACGGCGTCAAGCTCCAGCTCCGCCACCTGGGCCCCCGGTGAAATTTGGTTATTCATCGCTGGGAGACTCAGCTCGCTCTAGTCTCAGTTGCTGCCGGGGCAGCGTCTCCTGGTCGTTATGGTAACGGACTCGCGCGCATGCGCTGGGTGAAATTTGGTTATTCATCGCTGGGAGACTCAGCTCGCTCTATTCTCAGTTGCTGCCGGGGCAGCGTCTCCTGGTCGTTATGGTAACGGACTCGCGCGCATGCGCACCAGATCCACGCCCACGTAGAAACCCAGCAGGTAGAGTTCGAGTTCATTTGCCACCTTGCAAGGGGAGCGAGGGTTTCTTTTTTCTATCTCTGGAAATTTAGGGGCTGGAATTAAATGCACAAAACGAATCCTTCCATCCCCCTCGTGGAAAGAGTCTGTGTCCTTTTTGGTAACTATATAATCAAACACCTAATGACATTTTAAAAATAAGCATAGAGGATTGATGGGAAGGCTGTTATAAAATAATATATAGTTGGTACATCTTTGGTTCCTTTGTCTGAAGCAGGATACAACAATTTGAAAAAAGTAAAGAAGCTTTATTGAGGTATAATTTACATATCATACAATGCACTTAAGGTGAGTTTTAGGAAGTTCATACAGTGTGCAACTATCACCGCAACCCAGTTTTTTTGTTTGTTTAGTTTTAGTTTTGTTTTGTTTTTGAAGCAGGATAAAATTTTAAGTAACTGCTAGAGAGGGAGAGAGGTCTTGGGGCGCCCCGGCCTTCCTGGGAAAATGCTTAGCTTCTGTTCAACAACCATTTCATTTTAATTGCACCCAGCAGTTCGCGTCTCTCAGTAAAAGCAGGTTTCTCCAACCTACTGTCACTCAGGGGAGCGCTTCCTTTCTTTGTCACAGTTCTCGGGTCCCAACACCGTACGTATTCATGTTGCAAACTCCACGCTCCTTTCGCGCGCGGGGCCGAACCGCGGGGAATGAGCCGCGCGGGCCGCCGTCGTCGGCTGCTGCGAGCAGGAAGTGTCCGAGCGGCGGGCGGAGACTGCACGATGGCCCCGGACCCCTGGTGAGCCCCGGGTGAGGGCGGCGGTGCGCGGAGGGACCTCCGGGGAGGCCGCACTTCCCGGGAGCGGGCGAGCGCTTGGCATTGCGGCTGGAGGCTTTTCGGGAGGGGGGAGGGTCAGCGGAGACTTGCTGAGAGGGACTCAGCCACATCCCGCCACCCTCGGTCCTTGCAGGGGTGGCCCGGGAAGGCTACCGGGTGGACCTTTGGGGAGATGAGGGCTGCAGCCGAATCTCTCAATATTCCTTCAGCCCTTCTGGGCCGCATCTCGCCACGGGGATTTCCCGCCCATCTTGGTTGTGGAGCTGGCTGGTGCAGGCTCCCCTGGACTACTATAAAAGTGAAATAGAAATAAGGTTTTTGTGGAAAGTCAATCCATCCAGTGAACGCCTTATTTCACAGGTGGAGAAACCGAGCTTCAGAACTCACAGTCGGTCACCAGCTGGGGCTAGGACCTAGATCTTGTAGGCCCTTCAAAAAACTTTTAGGAATCCGGGAGGGAAATGATGCACTCGTTTATAAGGCATTTTACCTTTTCCTGAGTTAATATCATGAAGACTATTCCTGCAGCAGCAACTTCTGCAGTAAAACAGTAGCTGGAAACGGTCATTTATTAAGCAGTTTAGTCCCAAGGACTGAATGATGGAAGGTAAAGTTCTGATACCAAGGAACGCATTGCAATAGGGGTAACAGACTTGACCTTTCTTCCTAATAATTAAAACATAGCTCTATAAAGTTCTTGTTAGAGCATATGTCTTATGTTGATATTTCTCACATAGTTTTATAATAGTTTAAGTTGCAGACAATCTAGGTATTAGGAGAATGAATTCTGAGATCAATGTTAGAGTTATCTGGAATCTAGGTTATCTGGACTAATTGCTTAATTTAACACTGATTTTTTTTCCCCCACCTAACTTTTACAGTTTATACACCCTTTGATAGAAAATTTAGAGAATATTGAATATTTGCAGAGAGGAAAATAAATAGCATCTTTAACTCTATCATTTGGAAATAGTCATTATTGATTTTTTACAATGGATTTATGACTTTAATCTGTATTATATATATGTTTTACGAAACGGAACATTTCATATCATCGAACATTCTCTGAAAACATGATTTTTTTATGTTGGATAATAGTTCATCCTATGAATGACCATAGTTTTTTTTCTCGTACATTAGGTTTGTTTTTGTTTCTTTTGGTGTTTTTTTTTTGTTTTTTTTACTATTGCAAAGGCTGTCCCATTGTTCCATCTCTTATTTCCTTGGGCTCCTTTCATAGAAACTATTGGGTTCAAGGGTATGAACATTTTTAAGGCCCTTGATACATTTTCCTAAGTTTTTGTTTTGGTCTACTTACTTTTAAAAAACTTACTATGGCGGGTAAAAGATAAGTTTTTAAAAAGTAAGTAGACAAAATCCCGCAAAAACCCAAGAGTGGCAAAATACTCATCACCTAATTTCTGTAATTATCAATATTCTGCCATTTTTGTTTCTGTCCACACCTTTTTCTTTTATGGGTATACTTTAAAGTAGATCTTATACATATATTAATTTAACTGTGCATTCCATGCTTTTCTGGTAGAAAAGAGGCCCAATTCATAGTCTGGAAACTTCTTTGATGCTTCCTTTTCCAGTTCTGTGGTCTGTGTGACGGTGTTACCATCCTCTTAGTTACTTAGACCTGAAAACTAATCATTCACTTTTTTTTAATTCTTCATATCAGATAATTCCCTAATCTCCACTAGTTTTTTTCTTAAAAATATTTCTGACATCTCTTTTATGCTATTTCTTGTATTGTCCAACCTTTATAGGCTAATACCTTGAGGATAGAGTGTACAGGTAACTGGTTATGGAATTGAATAGCTGGAGAAGTCTTCTACTGGTCTCCTGCCACTGCTCTCTCATTTCTATTCAGGTTGATTTTCATAAACTAGTACTTTAGGTACCTGTGTCTTGACCCTAATACCTTGAGGATAGAGTGTACAGGTAACTGGTTATGGAATTGAATAGCTGGAGAAGTCTTCTACTGGTCTCCTGCCACTACTCTCTCATTTCTATTCAGGTTGATTTTCATAAACTAGTACTTTAGGTACCTGTGTCTTGACACCATGATGAGGTGGCCATTACCTCTAGGCCAGTGTTTCAGAACCATTGCTCTTTGGGGCTAAAATGAGAACATGGGGATTGGTGGCAAGACACCTGGGAGTTTGTCTAGCTGTTTGACCTTTAGCATTTCACATAACCTCTTCAAGGCCTCACTTTATGTGTAAAAGTGTCCTGTATGGTTCTAAAATTCTCTTGTAAGTCTAACCTTATTAGACTGGTGTCCAAGACTCTGCAGTAACCAGCTTCTACTCACCTCTTTATACTTTACCCTCCTAGCAGGGCCACCACTCAGCTGACTGTTCCAGGCACGTTTCCTTTCTTTCATCTTTGCTTGCTTCCTGGGCCTTTTCTGTGTCTAGAATGTGCTCCTGTCTACATAAGAGGCCTGCTTTAACCTAGTGGTCAGCCCCATCAGAGTGCCTTGGCCAACAGTAATTTCTCCACCTCTGAACTCCCAAAATACTTACCATTTAGATCCCACATTTGGCAGGAGGTATAGTGTAGCATATGTTATTGATTTTCAAATGTCTGATTTGGGACCACAGATCCTTTTCATAGATGACAATGTGGAGGGGAAAAAGTGACATATGGCAAAGCTGGGACCAGGTCCCATTTTTCCTCCTGTTTTCTTAATTCCGTGTTATCTTGTATCACCTACTCTTTTTTCAGATACACATATCTATTAATATATACATATAGATATAGAGGTATATGAATGATATATATGCAGATTGTACTACTTTAGATTATAGTGGTTAGTGGTTCAGGATCCTACCTCACAGGATCCTTATGAGTTTACAATTTAAAGCTCTTAACATAGGACCTGGCCCAGATCAGGAACTCACCTGTTAGCTGCTGCTATAATTACTATAGTAAAATTCTTTTTTTTTTTTTTTGACTGGTAAGGTGATCACAACCCTTGGCACGGTGTGGTCTGCACCATGCTCAGCAAGCGAGTGCACCGGCCATCCCTATATAGGATCCGAACCTGCGGCCTTGGTGCTACCAGCGCTGCGCTCTCCGAGTGAGCCATGGGGCCGGCCCTATAGTAAGATTCTTAAGAGAAGTGATTGAAGCATTTTCCTTTATTCATAAAAACACTTAGCAAGTTCCCTCAGTGTGCAAGTGATAAGAGGGAATTAGGAAATTTTAAAAAATGGATTGTTTATTTTCACAAGCAAAGATTGGGACATTATGGCAAATAGCAGTTTTCAATATTTTGTAATGGACAGTCCTGGAAAATATGTTGGTTGTATAAGTGCAGCAGAGTACTTGCTTTTTAGGAGCAGACTGTCTGGTAGGAGAAATGAAATGTGTATGCATACTTATGTGTTTTCTGTAGAACAGACAGAAAGTAAAAATATTATGACAGAAGGAAAAAATAAGTGGCTGTCGGGAGTTCACTGTGAATCCTTCAAAGCCCCCAATACTGTTCAATGACAAGTAGAAGCTCAGTAAAAGAATTCTGCCATGCCAAAAAGTCAGGTGGGTGTGTGACCTTTGTCCACAGAGCGTTCTGTTGTAGCTTAAACAGTACTTGGCTGTTCCTGACTGTAGAGCTCTACCCTAGGGATCTGCATGGCTAGCTTCTTTACCTTGCCTCAGTGCCACCTGATCATAAATAGAACCTCTTGTCACTCTTTGTCCCTTTATCATGCTTCATTTTTCTTCTTAGTACATATCAACACCTGGCATACTATGTGTTTATTTGTTTCATGCCTTTCTCCCTCCACTGAAATGTAAGCCCCTTAAAACAGGGACTTTGTCCATTTTGTTCAGTGCTATATTCTCCAGTGCCAGGAACAGAGCTCGGTACAACGGAGGCCTTCCAGAAATGTTTGGTGTATGTTTTGTGAATGAATGAATAAAATATTTTGTCATCAGCCGTATAGCAAAGAGCCCAGCCCCTGGGGCCAGATAGCCTTGGTTTGCAGCTGGCGGTACCATTTGGGCAAGTCACTCTACCTCTTTGTGCCTCATTTTCTCATGTGTGAGGTAGAGATGGGGTTGGTATGCACCTCATAGCATTCTTGTGAGGTGGGAGTTATCACAAATGAAGCATTCAGAGCAGTGCCTGGCACTTGGTAAGTACCATTTAGTACATGTTGCTGTTACTGGTACTGTTGTTACCCTCCCTTCCTGTTTGAATTTGTGGTTAGAATTAAAAACTCAGACGTAGATAATGGCAGAAATTTCTCTTAATATTTAAAACTTTGAATATTTTTCTCTTTTTTATGACTTTGATGCAGGTTCTCCACGTACGATTCTACTTGTCAAATTGCCCAGGAGATTGCTGAGAAAATTCAACAGCGAAATCAGTATGAAAGGAAAGGTGAAAAGACATCTAAGGTAATACCAGGAGAGAATTAGTACTTAAAATGATTTGTTTGAGGTCTGAAGACCTTCGTATATCTGAGGCTCTGTGTGTGTGAGTGTATAATGGCCTAGCTGCTAACATATGTTGAATTGACATCACAACCAACTAGTTAATAGTTATTTAATCATCGAGACTAGATGAAGTATAACATATATTTAATTTCTCCTATTTTATCTTAAATGTTTTTAACAATTTTATAATCTAATTCAAGGGTTAATAAACTTCCTCCAGATAGTAAGTCTTTTAGGCTTTCCAGGCCAAAAGACAATGTCCTCAACTCTTCTCCTTTTTCTGACCAAAAGGATGGCAGGCTTTTTTACATTTTACACTTAAAAATGTAAAAACCATCTCTAGTTGTGGGCTGTATAAAAGCAGTGATGGGATTTGGCTAGGAAGTATATTTTTATACTTTTTTAATATTTTCATACTGATGCCTTTGATTCAAATCCAACACCACACACAGGCTTCTTCCCTACCTTGCCCATTCCCAATTTAAATTTTTTTTCTCCCACAGTGAGAACCCTGGTTTCCAAAAGCATTATATATGTTTACTCATTTGGTCTATCTTATAGTTTACGGAAAATAGTTCTGTACATGACTGTTGTAAGTACCGCTACAAATACTAAGTGAAGTCCAAATTTTGTGTCTTTTTTCTTTTTTAACTTAGAACATCCCATAAGGATACTGAAGTTATTTTGCTGCAGTTATTAGAATTGATTCCTTTTTTCTGTCTTATGCTAGCTTTTGTTTATTGTTCAAAATAAAGAGGTACACTCAAAGTTTTATTTCCATCCTTCTTTTTTCCTCCTCCTCTTCACTTCTTATAGGTGACTGTTTTTATTAATTACTGGTTTATTTTTCCTGTGTTACTTTTTGCAGAAATAAGCCTCTGTGTGTGTGTTCTTATTTATCTTCCTTTTATATAAAAGGTAGTCTTTTGTATATTGCTCTTTTCACTTAATATCTTGTACAACTTTCTTCATATTAATTCATAGAGACCTTCGTTGTCCTTCTTTTGGGCTGTATAGTATCTGTTGTGATGTACCATAGTTCATTTAACCTGTCTCCTAAGGATGGGCAACTCGATTGTTTCCAATCTTTTCCTGTTATGAATAATGCTGCAGTAAATAACCTTGTCCTTTTCTAAAAGTTTATTTGTGGAGGTGTCTTTTAAAGGTGAGTTCTCAGAACAAGGGCCTTTGTGATTTTTTTTTACCTGTCACCAAATTCCCCTCCACAGTGGTTGTCACTTTTGGCACCCCCACCCCAGCAGTGTGTGAGAGCTTCTGTTCCTTCACAGCCTGGTCTATAGAGGGTGTTGTGAATCTTCTGAATTTTTGCCAGTCTGATAAGTAAGAAATGATATTTCAGTGTAGTTTTAAATTTGTATTTCTCAAATTATGAGTCAAGTGGAGTATGTTTTCAAATGCTTAAGGGCTATTTATATATATTTTTTTCTGTGAACTATCTTCTTTTGCCCATTTTTCTATTGGATTGTTCCTTTTTAGTCTTGATCTTTAAGAAATCATTATATTCTGGGGAGATTAGCTCCTTGTGATAAATTGTGGTTATTTCCTCTTTATCATTTGATGTTTGAGTTTGCTTGAGGTATTTTTTGTCATATGAAAGTTTGTTTTGTAAATGAATTTGAGGATCAGTCTTTAATTGCTTCTGTATTTTTCACCATAGCTAGCTAGATTTTTGCTATTTCCAGGTTATAAAGAATTTTATTTCTGCTTTTTTTTCTAGTAAACATATTGTTTCATTTTTTACTTTCAGAGCTCTGATTCATTTAACCAGTGTTTTCTTCTTGGACAGCTAGATTATTTCTAATTATAAACAGTTTTTTCAGTGTAGCCAAATTATTGCACATGTTAGAATTAATTCCTCAATATAGGCTTTCTGGATTTGGTTTGTATAAAATTTTAAAGCTTTGAAATTCATTTAACCAGTGTTTTCTTCTTGGACAGCTAGATTATTTCTTTTTTTTTTTTTTTTAAAGATAACCGGTAAGGGGATCTTAACCCTTGACTTGGTGTTGTCAGCACCACGCTCAGCCAGTGAGCGAACCGGCCATCCCTATGGGGGACCCTAACCCAGGGCCTTGGTATTATCAGCACCGCACTCTCCCGAGTGAGCCACGGGCCGGCCCGAGCTAGATTATTTCTAATTATAAACAGTTTTTTCAGTGTAGCCAAATTATTGCACATGTTAGAATTAATTCCTCAATATAGACTTTCTGGATTTGGTTTGTATAAAATTTTAAAGCTTTGAATATATATATTATAGAATTACATGTCTACATCAATTCTGATTATCTTTTAAAAATCTGTTAGGTGAAAATATGTTATAATAGTTTAATATGCATTTTTTATTATGTTTTGAACATCTTTACATATATTTATGGATATTTGTGTTTCTTCCTTTATGAATTGCCTGTGTATGTCTTTAACTTAATCTTATTGTTTCTTAATTTCAAAGTTCTTTATATATGTTAACTATATTAAGTTTTGATCTGGCATATTTGGGATAAATATTTTTCTATTAATTTGGCTTTTGATTTTGTAAGTGACGTTTTTTGACATGTACTTGTTTTTAAATTTTATTTGAAATTAACAATATTTTTATTTGTGGTCTCTTCTTATAGGAAGAGGGAAAATCATGCTTAGAAAGGCTTTTTACACTTAGAGATTACATAAATATTTTACCTAATTATCTAAATTTTCTTTGAGCTTTTCTTCTTTTTTTTTTTGTTTCATTTTGGTTTTTTTCTTGTGTGTGTACATCTTTGAAATATTTGAAGTTTATTTTGGTGTGTGGTAGGTATCTAATTTTATCTTTTTCCCCATTTGCTAAATTTTTGACCCCATCCCCCAGATATGAAATATTCCATTTTTTATTGACTGAATTTTTACACAACTACACTGTTTCTAGGCCTTCTGTTGCACTATTGAGGCTGTTGGTAACTACCAGCATTGCCTTCTTGTAGATTTTTATAATGACTTCATATCTGATTGTTTAAGGCCCCCTTATTGCACATATTTATGGTTTTTCTTTATTTTCCTTTATCCTTCTTTCAGAGTAATTTTGTGAAACTTCATTAAAAAACATTTTGTGCAGTGCCTCAGTTTCTGCTTCTTCTCCAATAAAAGAATTCCAAGTGGGAATTCTTGAATAGATGTGTAGTATGTTTTAAAAAAATTTTTTTAAGTTTATTTATTAATATATATTTTTTTGCATTCTAAGATGTTGTGGAGCAGTTGCGGGGAGGAGGACAGGGGAAGGGAGAAGGAAATAGGGTGGGAGGAGGAAAGATGAGGGGTGTGGTTGAGGCCTGTGGCACCCCTCTTATTCCTGCAGGGGAGACAAGGGGGCTTCCATGATGTGTAGTATGTTTATGAATTGGGTACAACTTATATTTTTGTAATATTGAGTATTTCCTTTTACTCATTCTTTCAGCAATATTTACTGCACAGTTGCTATGTGCCAGGCACTGTGTAGCTATTTTTTTGGTGTTGTTGATGAAGTTTTAAAATAATTAAAAAATTCTTCCTAGCTATTACTTAAATATAGAAATGCTCATGATTTTTCATTTTATGATTGATAACCATACTGAATTCTTTTACTGTTTCTAATAATCTTTCAGTTGATTCTTGTTTCCCAAATAGACTATTATCAATCTGCAAATGATAATTTCATCCCTTTCTAGTCCTTATATACTTTAATTTGTCCTATTTTATTGATTAGAACTTCTAGATCAAAGTTAAATAATATTCCAGGTAAGGCAGTAGTGTTCATTCTTAGGTTTTTTTTTCCTCTTTTTTTTTGTTTTGTTTTTATTTTCTCTCATACTCTATTCATCATGTTTATTCTGCTTTTAATTTTTATTTTATTATGAATATTCATGAGATACAAATTACCAGAAATTGCTTTTGTACCCCGTGTCCCCACCCAATTGTCCCCTAACCTCCCCCCCTCACCCAACTCTGCTTTGCAGCCGTAGGTGTTATATTCTGTTTTTTAAAAGATTTAGGTGAGATTGACGTGTAGTTTTCTTATTTTGGTTATCCCTGTCAGTGCTTGTTTCCAGGGTTATGTTAACTTAACATATGAATTAGACTTTCCATCTTTTCCTATGCTCTGGGAAGCTTCTATTTAATTATGATAACAGAACTTTTTTCCTGATTATAAAAAGTAATCATTTTCTTATAAAAATATTAAGAAATTCCACTACTTAGAGTTAACCACCCTTAGCATGTTGGTGTATTTAGTTCCTGGATTGTTTTTCTCTATTTGAGTGACATATTTTATGAGTTGATTTTTTTCTTTTAATAAGTTATGATGGCTATCTTTCTATGTTACCAAATTGAGATTTGAGTCATTCTTTTTAATGGCTACATACTCTTTCATCTCTTGAATGCTTTTGGTCTTTAATTTCGTAGGCTCTTCATAGGCCTGGTGTGTATGTGTGTTGTGCTTTTTTGCTTGCTTGTTTTGCTTTTTACTCTTTGAGGAGAGATCTGCTTTCCTTGGCCTTTCCCCATAAACATTGTGGGTGGTTCTTCCTTGGTTCCCAGAGGTATTAGAACAGTTAGACTTTTCTTGGCTGCTGATACCTTGGAGAGTTGCTTGATGTGTGTAGCCCTTGGCCAGCCACTGGTATTCTGCTCTTTTTCCTTGGTGTGATCCTGCTAATCTAAGGAGGGGACACCTGCTTGCACCCAAGTTGTATAATTGCTACTTTTAACAAGTTAGCAAATGAAATCTGCAGTATTCTACCTTTTTTAACATATCTCTGATTTCATCTGTGGTTGAATGTATTTCAATTTAAATGGGCAGTTTTATTTTTCACATTTCCAAATTCCTGAGAGGCTCTCTCCTTACCCCTCCTCCAATCCTTTAATGTCACCAACAAAAATTTCCTCCCAGTTTTTAGAATGATTGGAGAAAATTCACCCAGTCCTGGAAAAAGAGTCATGTATAGTTAATGTTTCTCTTGTACAAAAAGAACACATTGCAATAAAATGTTTAAATGGGTTATAAATATAGCAGTGTATTTAGAGAGGCTGGTCGGGATGGTAATGGGGCTTGACAGCTTGTCATTTGAAGCATGGTTGAGGGAATTGTGGGTTTTTGCTGTTGAATGAAGACTTGGAGAACACAATTTCCTGCATGGCTCCAAGGTAGATAAATGGGATCAATGGGTGGAAGCTCAGGGGACAGAATTCAGCTGATTGTGAGGGCAAACTGACAGCTTCCAGTCAATGTCAGTGTTTAAATATGTCTGGCTTTCCACTTGGTCAGGTTGCAGAGTGGTAAACCTTAGGTGGGAGGCTGGGCCAGGTGACCGTTGAGACTCCTTACAGGCCCGGTTTGTCATTGGGAGGCTAAGCATCTCCTCCAGCCCTTCCTTGATTGAATCGTAGCCTATAAAGCAGCGTTTACATGATATAATTTAGTAGCTTACACCTCTGTACTAGAATACTTAGGATGTGTTCTTTTCTTTTCAGCTTACCGTGACAATCAGAGCTTTGTTGCAGAATCTGAAGGAAAAGATCGCCCTTTTGAAGGACTTATTGCTAAGAGCTGTGTCAACACATCAGATGTATCCATGTAAACATTTCCACCTCTTTTCTAGAGTGGGAGGATAAGAAGTCTTATTTTAAGAAAGGAAGGAATCTGGGCCACCCAGATTTTTCCACAGCTTGAGGAGGACCTGGTTTCCAAAATATTGCCTATGATCTTGATGTCTGTTACATGTTTCACAGTGAATATGCTGGCAAAGAAAGACCTACTGAAGGAATTAGCTTATTTGGGTGTAACCTTTACAGTGCAGGAAGCTAATGCTTTCTGTCAGTGCCATATTCACATTGCCTGGTATTGCTTGCAGTCTAGACTGCCTTCAAGATGGCTGGCCACTGCTCCAGAGGAAAACTTCCATGATAATCCTGAGCTATGATTCTGCTCTGGAGTTTCCAGAGTTTTTAATGATCTATTTCTTTTTGAAGAGGCCAATACCAGTAGAATTCATACTTTTTTTCCCTGTTTATATAGATTATTGAGATATGGTTTGTTTGCCTTAATATTCTTCTAATGGCACACATACTGCCCCTAGTTTGGGAGTTTTGGGGGTGCAGGGTGGAGTGGGACTTGATTGAAGCAAGTCGTGCTGTCATCTCAACCTCCTTCCAACACTGTCATGTACTAAAACATTTTTTTTCTTTAGAAATTAATAATCTGATCAATTTAGGAAATTACATGTGACCAGTTATCTAAACTAACCCTTTAAACCTGAGTTTATATTGGTTTGAAAACTGACCTAACTGGTCTTCTCTCATGATTTCTCAAAATTGTCAGTAGTTCATTCTAAAGACCTAACTTATGGTGTATCAGGAAATGGATTACTGCCCGATTTTAAATATGGGAAAATGTAGATATGTAAATATGGGAAATGGTTTTTAGATAAAACAATTGAAGGTGTTTTACAAAATATCTTCCCCCAAGTGTAACCCTTTATGTCACCAGGAAGGTTGATTTAGATTAGTTGCATGATTTTCCAAATAGTCAATTAAAAATCCACTAAGGTTTCAAATAAAAGTTTAATTTCAATAAACAATTGGGGCTTTATTTTTAATGCAGTTAGAATATTCTGATACACTTAGTTTGTAACTTTACCCTACATCTGGTATCATTTGTTACTGTACAGTTTTCCTATTATATAAAGTTTTTATTTACCAAAATCAACAAGTCTTAATATATAGACTTTAAGTAGTTTCAGATGGGCCAGGCTATTTCCTCTGCTTTCAGTACTAAGCACTGGGAAACCTGCACATGGGGTCAGGGTGTGCAAACTCAGTTTAGTTTAGCTTAGTCACTAAAGCACATATTTTAGAAAGGCAACTAAATATTGTCTCATGATGTAATATTAACAACTAGGTATTTGCTAACTTCCATTAAAGTAACTGATTATTATTCCTCTTATTTATGTGCTAAACCTACAGGGCAAGAAAAACATACAAATTAAGAAGTTTTACTTTTTTCTATTAATTTCTGCTAGTTATTAATTACAGTGTACTAAGCATGCCACGGTAATAATTTACTTTGTTCTCCCAAATGCTTGCAGTCTCTTGAAATCTCATTGATTTTTGGTTTTGTGGTAATCTCAGAATTACTTCCAAAATTACCGAATTAAGCACCAAGCATTAAAAACACTGACTAGTTAATTAAACCATTACAAAAATATTTAGGGACCACAATGTGGATAATTCGGAATTTCCTAGGAGAAATCAAAAACTCAACTGGAATATAACAGCTTTCTTTAAAATCCTATTTATCTTTTCAAATAATTGCATCTATTTCTACTGTAACTGAAGCCAGTACTAGGGATGGCATTCAGATAATCCACCCCATGGGGGCGCTCGTAAACCTCTGTATTTTCGGGGAGGCCATTTCATTTGAGAGAATGGAAAAGATGTAGCTTCTATATTGCCAAGTCCTCTTTTTAATTTTCCTTCTGTTCCCCCCACCTTCCCCTATCCCTGACCTCCTTCCTCCTCCCAAACATTTAAAATAATCCTATATCAGTTATCCTCCATTTTTAAGATATATCACATAGCAACTTGTCAGTCCTAATAACCACATAATATTGGTATGTTTTGGTGGCTCCTTCTTTTTCTTACAAAAGTAGAGGCCGCGTCAAACTTTGTACCTCAAGTCATCGATGAGGTTGGAAAGAGAATCCAGCATTCCAGCAGAGGAGTGTTCTACAGTGAGGAAAGGACTCTGAGAGTTCTAGTAGCTTGTTCAGGACCTCACAGCTGGGAAATAGAGGAGCCAGATTCAAACACAGGGCTGTCTGGCCCCAAAGTCAGTGGTTTAAAAGCTGAATTCTACTTTAGTAGAAATAATACAGTCAACTGTCACCTGGCATTTCTTCAACTAGAATTCTCTATTAATTGGCATGTTGCTGTAGTGGCAAGACAAATCCTGTTTATAATGCAAATCCTCAAGTATCTTCTTAATCATCAGAAAGACTAATAGTGTTCATTGTTGTTTTTTAGGTATACTTTGTGATGTAATTTTTAGAAAAATTTTTCTTCATAAATCACCAATAGAGTGACTTTTTAGTCCTTTTCTTGAGGTATAATTAATGTCGGGTGACTTTTTTAATGTGAAAATATGAATACCAATTTTCCTTACTGTGCCACATAGTTAAGAGTTTATGGTACTTTTCTTAATAAATTTATGCCTTTCTGCATTTGTGAAGTTTTTCAAAGAACACCGAGTTGCAGGAAAGATAAGTGAAAGCATGAAAATGCTTTCTAAAGCAATTAAATTCATCGAGTTTAGGCATAAGGTGTTCTTTCCTGAAAAGAAGTATCTCTCTCCTGGCAAGAATAAATGTGAAATTAAAATGAAAGTTCTGTGCCCTTGAATCTGTTAGTTTGCAATTAATAAGCCAAAGTCCTGCAGCTGGAGAGTTTAAAATTGCTGAAAAATATTAACTTCTATTCACAGTGCTTCTTTGAGATAGGCAGATAATCACCTCGCCAGCTGAGAAAAGGTCTGTGCTATGGGAGGCTGCATGTGAAATTTCAGGTAGTACTAAAAATATTCTTAGAATTGGCTTTACATGCAGCTTGTCCTTCTGTTGGCTTTTCAAAGGGAGCACCTTTACTACTTTAAAGAGAATTTATAAAATGTCTTTACAAAGGAGTCCAATATCAAAAGATATTTTGATATCTTGGGAGAAGACCTGTGGAAATAATTTTTTTAAATCTGTAATAACTTTTATCAACTCTGTACTTTTGGGGAAAAAAAGATAGGTGGGTGGATAGACAGATGTGCAATCACTATATAACCTGAACCAATGTAGGTGTGGAGAGGCTAACTCAATAGATTTTAAAGGTATCTCCTGGTGGCTCCAGTGAAGGTGAAGCGGTTCTCAAACACTGTGCCTGTGCATGACAAAGTTTCCACTGGTACCTGGTAACGTGAGAAAAAATGAAGAGAAAATAGTGTTTATGTCAGCAAAAATATTCTGATTTATATAGCCTATTACATGGTTTTTGCTAATTTTTGGTGTTAAAATCTCCTTGCTTTTTACCACGACAGTAAAAGTAAAGTAGGTAGTACTTTGTTGTTTTTACCTGGCACAATGTATAATTGGTAATTCTGTGTAAGTTCTGCCCCCATTTGTTTGGAAATATTAGTGTTATGTAAAATGTGAAAGGCTGGGCACAATTGGTCTAAACACTGGCTTTGGATCTGGACAGAACTGAGATTGAAGACCAGCTCTGCCACTTACTCAAGGCCAAACAGCAATTAAGCCTTTCTGGACCTTAGTTTCATTATCTATAAAGTGGGAATAATCATACTCTGCAAAGTTGTGAAAATTGAAGAAAATATTTTTAAAGCACCTCACTGGATTGGCCCCCATAGTGGTGGGTGGTGAGTAAAAAGTAGTTAGCAACACTTACTGTGTACCCTTGGGCAAGGTACTTAACCTCTTTGTGCCTCAGTTTTCTCATTTGTGGAGTAAGGAAGATAAAAGTCCACTGGTTTATAGGATTGTTTTGAGGATTAAACTATATGCATAGAAGGTGCTTCACATGGGCCGAGCCCGTGGCGTACTCGGGAGAGTGCGGCGGCGCTCCCGCCGCGGGTTCGGATCCTATATAGGGATGACCGGTGCACTCACTGGCTGAGTGCAGTGCGGCCGGTCTCAAAAAGGACAAAAAAAAAAAAAAGAAGGTGCTTCACGTGTAGTAAGTCCAGTCCTGCATGAGGATTAGCTGCTATTTATTATTGTATCATTCTTGTAAAAATTACAGCTACCATTGAGAATTTACATAGTCCATTCTTTAAGGAGTTATAATCACGTAAGGTGGTTATAGCTAAGCACACAGATGATGGTGGTATTAACATAGTACTTGCAAAATGTGATCAGTGCTTTGAGGAAGGTGAGGACTGGGCCTGCTACATAACTGATTTGTAGTAGAGTTTGTTGACTTGAAAGTAAGCCAGAAAAGTCTTCTGGCCTCTAAAACCTTGAACTGTTTCTTTGCAGTTCTTCTGTTATGGCATGGAGAAGTAATTACCTGAAAACTTCTTCCTTCTCCAGAGCAATTCATTTATAAAGTAAGCCTTACCTAAATTCACAAGCCTTTTACTAAATAAAGAGAAAATCCAGGAGCTGGAGTGGAGATGGGCTGTCCTATGACTCTAGCGACTTACTCACTCCACTCCATCTGTGGTTCAAAGTGCTTACCAGAGAAGCTGGGCTTAAGCATACTGGTAGTAATAGATGTGGATCACATGAAATCAGGATCCCATTTCATTTACAACCTTACACTTCCATGAATTGGCTATAATTACATGTAAAATCAGCCTAATGACAAAGTACTGTGGTAGTTAGTTCTTTTTCCTTATTTGTTTGTTCTGACTTTCTTCCTTGGTTATTCACCAAATTGGTGGAAGAAGTCCCCAGCACCCGCCCCTGACTTGTACACCATGTTCTACTTGTCTTTCTTAGCCTCAGGCACACCCTGTCCCCCCTCCCCTACTCTGTCCAACTACCACCTACATGTCCACATAGCTGCAGTATAGATTTTTGCCTGGATGATTCGTTGACCTCTTATTAACAACAACTCTTATATAATAAGTGCACTCTGCGGCCGGCCCATTCATCTCTTATTCTCCTTACGCCTTCCCTTGCCCAATCTCTTTATGCTCTGTTCTCTCAGTAGATTACAATGTAAAACTAAGAGGCAGAGTGTTCCTAATTGGATGGTTTTTCCCAAATTTATAGGGAGGCTGGGAATATTCTGAATCAGTGTTACCAGTATTGTTTTTAACAAGATTCTAAGAAGTGGCAAAGTTAAGTGAGCAGTGCGGGGAGCCTCAGGGTGGAGAAGCCCCCGGAATGTTTGGTGGGCAAGCCCGGTGTGATGTGGTGGGAAAAGCTTTGAGCTAGTGTAGGAAGGGCTGGGCTCTAGCCCAGCATTGCCCTTACCCAGCCAAGAGACTTAGCCATTCCGGGCCTTAATACCCTGGTCAGGAGAACAAGAGAACTGGATTAGGGGATCTCTAGGGCCTCTTCTAACATCAAATGTCTGTGATTCTGGTCTTCAGTTACTAATCTACACAATGTCATTACCAAGCTTACTGCTTTTGAAAGTGATGTTCTTTAATTGTTAATTCACTCTTAACATTAGTTTAAATCCGTAACTAATATCTTCTAAATTTTAAAACTTCTTTGTTGTTTTTACCATAAAAAGTACTTTACACCTATACCCTTCTTACTGTTGGTTTTTACCGATGACTCGCCTCTCTCTCTAGCTCATCCCCATCCTATCCCATCTCATTCTTTGTAGGTAACAATGCTGATAGTTGGTACCTATCATCCCAGACTTTTCTAGGCACGAAATATATATATGTAAATATAAAATCCTTTTGACTGTAAAGGGATTATACTATACATATGGTTCTGAAACTTGTGTTTTTATTAGTTAGCATGATAGACTGAAGCAATATAAAATAATATTCAGTGAAAAGTAGGTCTCCCTCACACACTGAGTCCCCATTCCCCTTCCTTAGAGGCAGTTGTTTATATATCCTTCCAGAAATGTTTTGTATCCTATGTATGTCTGATGTTTTTTTTTTTTTTTTTTTTTAAAAGATGACCGGTAAGGGGATCTTAACCCTTGACTTGGT